AGTTTCTGTACCAAAAGCGGTAACCCCGAGCTACACTCGGGCTTACCATGCGGCGCTGCATAGGGAGTCCCTGCAGGGCTTACCTTGTCCTTCGCTCCCACGATGTGTCCCCTGCAGCGTCCCTGGCCATTTCCTCCGGCCGATGCCAGCATCCGGCTTCTGTGTTCCGGTCCCTGTGACGTCGAGACGTACGGGCGCAGCCAGCGGCGGGAAATTTGAAAATTTTCAAAAAATTTCATTTTTTTCAAAACGAATTTTACATAGTAAAACATTGCTGTTTCAAACCATTTCACATACATTTTGTCCCTAGTGCTTTGTCCTGTCCCCTGTCTGCATTTTGACTGTTCTTTCTGCCTGGAAACTTAGAAACGTCCATGGCGTCCAAAAAGCATCCCTTTAGGTCAAAAGCGGGTTTAGACCAGCTAGAGAACAGCGATAGTAAATCAGAACCACTTGCAGAATTGAGTGATAATGATTCGTGGAGAAATTCGTCATCAGACACTGCGACTTTGCTCAGTGATGTGCGAACTTGGCGTTATATTTCAAATTTCAGTGTTTTTGGTTTGATTATATTATTGAATTAAATGTATTATTATTATATTATTATTTTTTATGATTATTTATTAAATTATAATTTATGATTTTGTGTTTCAAATTTTATCATACCCGGGATGTTTAATAGACTCTTGTACGGACAGATTTCAGTGAGTTATTCCTAAATATTACAGCCTACAATAAAAAAACTACATATTTCCATGCAAAATAATGGTACCGCTTTCAGCACCATAAATCTTCAATAATCATACCGCTAGGGAGGTTAAAAAAAGATTATCAACTTTATTACATACACATTTCCATTGTAATGTTAAATACATGATTTCTAAAAAGAATTTTGCTCTGACAGTATTCTTACAAGAAAACTCTTAATACAAAAATATGAAAGCACACAGAAAAGAAAAGAAAAAAACACCAACGCGTTTCGATCATTCCATATTCTAGATCTTCCTCTGGGGGCATGAAAGACAAACGACTTTCTAATAAAATATATAAACAATCATAAATGAATATACCAAAAATAAATAAACAGATAACCCAAAAAATGTCTTCACATAACCAAAGAATTTATTACTTACAAAAGCATATGTCAGAGCAAAAGAAAGGATGACTTCCAGGATGAGAGGCTGGACACTATGCTGAGGTGGGGTGCATCATCCAAGAGGGCAAGAATGGTCAGATGTAAGTCACCAGACAGGCACTGACAGAGGGGCACCAGATCATCCCCCCAATGGGACTAAAGATGGTATGAAAAACAATCAATTAAATTCCAAATCAGACCAAATGGATATACCTAATAAAAGAATATGCATTCAAGAATAGTCCATAAAGAGATATATCAAGAGATAAAACTGACCGTATCTTAAGCAGGCCAATATCCGGAACAAATAGAATTTCACTCGGTAATAGATGCAACAACTCAAGGAAAAAAGTGGTAAATTTGAGATATTAATTTCTCCAAGGAATGGAAGACCAAAGTGGCATGCAAGACTGTGAAAGATCCAAATATTATGCAAACAATTAACAATAATAACCAATAGTGGTGTAAGAAAAAAAAAAAAACTGCTTCCTTGCAGACTTGTTGAGCAACAATTTTTGTTTGTTTCTTGCAGAGTATATTATCATATATCTTAATCAGTTGACTTTTCTTTTTTCTTTTTTGACCAGCATTGATAATAGTTCCTGTTGCAGTACAATTAATTATTTATCTATACCCCATCAATTTGTGATTGGGAGATATTTTTTTATTCTTTCCTTCATATATTTTTAATGTATAGTTTTTTGGTTTTTTTTTCTTTTCTTATGCCACCATTGGCTATGATTGTTAACTGTTTGCATAATATTTGGATCTTTCATAGTCTTGCATGCCACTTTGGTCTTTGTTCCATGGTATTTGACATACTTCCATTCCTTGGAGAAATTAATATCTCAAATTTACCGCTTTTTCCTTGAGTAGTTACATCCATTACCAAGTGAAATTCTATTTGTTCCATACATTGGCCTGCTTAAGACATGGTCAGTTTTATCTCTTGATATATCTCTTTAGGGACTCTTCTTGAATGCCTATTCTTTTATTAGGTATATACCTTTGGTCTGATTTGGAATTTAATATATTGTCTTTCATACCATCTTTAGTCCCTTTGGGGGGATGTTCTGGTGCCCTCCCTCAGTCCTTTTCTGGTGACTTACATCTGACCACTCTTGCCCTCTTGAATGATGTACCCCACCTGAGCATAGTGTCCAGCCTCTCATCCAGGAAGTCATCCTTTCTTTTGCTCTTGTAAGTAATAAATTCTTTGGTTATGTAAAAAAAAATGTTTTGGGTTATCTGTTTATGTATTTTTGGTATATTAATTTATGATTGTTTATATATTTATTAGAAAGTCCTTTGTCTTTCATCCCCCCTGAGGAAGATCTAGAATATGGAATGATCGAAACGCGTTGGAGTTTTTTTTTTTCTCTCTTTTCTGTGTGCTTTCATATTTTTGTATTAAGAGTTTTCTGGTAAGAATTCTGTCAGAGCAAAATTCTTTTTAGAAATCATGTATTTAACATTGTAATGGAAATGTGTATGTAATAAAGTTGATAATCTTTTTTAACCAAATGTCTTTTTCAATATATGTATGATCCTATTGCTGCATTAAAGTCCCACTGGGGGTTCTTTTGGTACATGCATTCATAAAGGGATGAGCAGCCAGATACTCGACCCTTTTGGTTATCATTTGTTGTGAAGAAGGCTTCAGGGTGTCCAAGAAAGTCCAGCAAGCGCCAGGACCGTCTCCTAAAGTAGATTCATCTGCGGGATTGGGGCACCACCAGTGCAGAGCTTGCTCAGGAATGGCAGCAGGCAGGTGTGAATGTATCTGCACGCAGAGTGAGGTGAAGACTTTTGGAGGATGGCCTGGTGTCAAGAAGGGCAGCAAAGAAACCACTTCTCTCCAGCAAAAACAACAGGGACAGACTGATATTCTGCAAAAAGGTACAAAGATTGTACTGCTCAGGACTGGGGTAAAGTAATTTTCTCTGATGAGTCCCCTTTCCTATTGTTTGGGGCATCCGGAAAAAAACCTTGTCCGGAGAAGAAAAGGTGAGCACTACCATCAGTCCTGTGTCATGCCAACAGTAAAGCACCCTGAGACCATTCGTGTGTGGGGTTGCTTCTCAGCCAAGGGAGTGGGCTCACTCACAATTTTGCCTAAGAGAGCCATGAATAAAGAATGGTACAAAAACATCCTCTGAAAGCAACTTCTCGCAACCATCGAAGAACAGTGTGAGAATAAACAATGCCTTTTCCAGCATGATGGAACACTTTGCCATAAGGCAAAAGTGATAACTACAAGTGGCTTGAGGAACAAAACCTCAAAATTGTGGGTCCATGGCCAGGAAACTACCCAGACCTTAATCCCACTGAGAACTTAAACCCTTACAAATTCTGACAAACTCCAAGCATTGATTATGCAAGAATGGGCTGCCATCAGTCAGCATGTGGCCCAGAAGTTGATTGATAGCATGCCAGGGTGAATTGCAGAGGTCTGGAAAAAGAAGGGTCAACACTAATATTGACTCTGCATAAACTTAATGTAATTGTTAATAACAGCCTCTGACACTTATGAAATGCTTGTAATTATACTTCAGTATACCATAGTAACATCTGACAAAAAGATCTAAAAACACTGAAGCAACAGACTTTGTGAAAAATAATATTTGTGTCATTCTCAAAACTTTTTGGCCAGGGCTGTGCAGTCCTGTTTACATGTTGTGTTTGCTTTTTCAATAAACATTTTACCCAATGTTGCTTTTTTGTGCTTAAAAGCGTCTTCAAAGCCTAGATAGAAGTCTATGACAAAGCTTGCTAACAGCACCTGCAGCTTTTGAGATACTTTATTCAGCTTTAGCTTCACTTTGTGCAATATAGCGGGGGGTGAATGGGGACCATGGAGAGAGGAGGATCAGCAAACCAGAGAATCGGTAGAGATGGGGTTTACTACTGGGAGGGGGATCAGAAGAGCTAGGGGTTACTATGGAGAGGGATCAGCAAAGCTGGGGGCACCACTTAGTGGGCTTCAGCAGAGCTGGGGGTACTACTAAGCAGGGGATATGCTGAATGATGGTACTAAGCTAGGGATCTGCTAAACAGGGGTACTAATGAGCTGGGGATCTGTTGCATGGGGGTACTACTGAGGTGAGGTTCTAGTGGGCCCCTTTAAAACAAATTGAAAATCAACACACACGGGGCATTTGCCAAGCATAGAAGCATCACTGAAGCATTAACAAAGCATCACCAAAGCATCAAAAACACATTAAAAAAATCATGTTGAAGCAGTAGGCACTTTAATGTGTTTTAAAGTCAAAGCAAGTATAAATGCATTCAGGACTAAGTGCTGGGAAGGCTACAATTGCCGAAGAAGATTTAAACCCAACTTAGCCAATGGATAGAGGTAGGTTAGAACTTATATTAGGCTTTAAATTATGTCTTTTTCCCAATTGACACGATTGTATCTCACCTCCTGTCCTGTCTGGTACCACTTACCTAAATAGGATGTGAGGAGAAATCTCCCTAATGGGGACATGGACAGTAATAAAAATCCGGCTAGAGGTTCAAACCCTTCCTCATTCTACTCAAAGAGCTGGGTTTTTTTTACTGTCTATTTCTGTTGGGAAATTTCTCTTCACTTCCCGATTTGTTTGCGGAATACTCCCAAGCAACTGCACCCACACCAATATAAGGCTAACAGAGCCTTCTCCTTCTAAACTAAATTTTGGATAGAGTTGCCCTTTAAGTGTTGTCCCCCTTAGAACTCAGAATAAGAAACCCCTTCCCAGCCCTCCCAAAAGTACCAACTTATATATCTATACATACACTATATTGCCAAAAGTATTGGGACACCCCTCTAAATCATTGTATTCAGGTATTCCAATCACCTCCATGGTCACATGTGTATAAAATCAAGCACGTAGGCATGCAGACTGCTTCAACAAACATTTGTAAAAGAATGGGTCGCTCTCAGGAGCTCACTGAATTCAAGTGTAGTAACGTGATAGGTTGCCACCTGTGCAATAAGTCTATCTGTGAAATTTCCTTGCTACTAAATATTCCATGGTCAATTGTTTGTGGTATTATAACAAAGTGAAATCAACTGGGAACAAAAGCAACTCAGCCACGAAGTGGTCAGCGAATGCTAAAGTGCACAGTGTGCAGAAGTCGCCAACTTTCTACAGAGTCAATAGGTAAAGATCTCCAAACTTCATGGGGCCTTCAGATTAGCACAAAAGTGCGCAGCGAGCTCCATGGAATGGGTTTCCATGGCCGAGCAGCTGCATCCAAGCTTTACATCACCAAGTGCAATGCAAAGCGACGGATGAAGTGGAGTAAAGCATGCCTGGACTCTAGAGCATTGGAGACGTGTTCTCTGGAGCGATGAATCGCGCTTCTCTGACGTGTCTGGGATTGGCGGTTGCCAGGAGAATGGTACTTGTCTAACTGCATTGAGCCAAGTGTAAAGTTTGGTGGAGTGGGGAATATGGTGTGGAATTTTTTTTCAGAGGTTGGGCTTGGCCCCTAGTTCCAGTGAAAGAAACTCCTAAGGCGTCCACATACCAAGACATTTTGGACAATTTCATGTACCCAACTTTGTGGGAACAGTTTGGGGATGGCCCCTTACTGTTCCAACATGACTGCACACAAGTGCACAAAACATGGTCCATAAAGACATGGCTGAATGAGTTTGGGGTGGAGGAACTTGACTGGCCTGCACAGAGTTCTGACCTCAACCCGACAGAACACCTTTGGGATGAATTAGAGAGGAGACTGCGAGCCAGGCCTTCTCGTCTGACATCAGTGCCTGACCTCACAAATGCGCTTCTGGAAGAATGGTCAAACAAATTTCTATAGACACCCTCCTAAACCTTGTGGCCAGCCTTCCCAGAAGAGTTGAAGCTGTTATAGCTGCAAAGGGCGGGCCAACTCAATATTGAACCCTACGGACTAAGACTGGGATGCCATTAAAGTTCATGTGCATGTAAAGGCTGGCGTCCCAGTACTTTTGGCAATATAGTGTATTATATATAGAGAGATAGATACAGAGAGATAGATACAGTTGTGCTCAAACGTTTGCATACCCTGGTAGAAATCCTGACATTTTGGCACTGATACTGAAAATTTGACTGATCATGCCAAAAATCTGTCTTGTATTTAAAGGATAAGTTCACCTTTCATAACATGTTACATGCTACACCCATATTCAGAGACTGGACCGGCTCTCACCCCCCCCCCCCCACTTTGAGATCTAGCGGGGGATCTTCTCCCGCCAGCTGCCAAATTTTTTTTAAAAACACAGCTATGAAGGGCCATGTCACTCATTCACAGTCCTCTGTGAATTACAAAACTACAAGTCCTGACAGCCATAGCGGCTGTCAGCTTGTAGTTCTCAATGAACTACCATGGTGCTGTGAGCGCTGTGATAGTTCATTGAATCTTCCTGTCAGTATATCTGCTTGCCTGTATATCCCTTATGGTCAAGCAGATATACTGACAGGTCTGCAGGAGACCTGCATGGCCCCAGCAATCTGCTGATCGCTGGTGCAATGCTTTAGAGGCTCCTGCAACAAAAAAATATTAAATGCACATTTATTATTTTTTTTACTTGCAAGGTGAACTCATCCTTTAAAGGACAGTGATCACATGAAGCCAATTATTATCACATAGTTGTTTTGTTCCTTATTAAATCATAATGATAATAGCAATCACCCAAATGGCCCTGATCAAACATATTTATACCCTGGAATATTTGGCCCTGGTACAAGTCACCCTAAGTTGAGCTAATTGCTAATTACTCAAGTCTTTGAGTCATCTTTGACGGACAATAATATAGCATTTTAGTTACTTTGGAAGCTGTGGCAAAAAGAAGCCCTTCAGAGGACAAAGGACTAGTCTTCAGCATTACCTACAGTATAGGCTCCTTGCTTCTGATCTATTTAACATTACTTACTTACCAAGTCTTGTTCTTTATGGTTTCTTTGTGTAGGTAAACATCTTCCTATAGGGAAGGCTTTGTTTCTTTGTGTCAGAGCTGGCCCCATGATTACATAGTTACATAGTTAGTCTGGCTGAAAAAAGACAAAAGTCCATCCAGTTCAACTAAACAAAAAAAAGTTATAATCCTTTACCCACAGTTGATCCAAAGGAAAGCAAGAAACCAGCAAAGCATGATCCAATTAGCTCCTGCAGGAGAAAAAATTCCTTCCTGATCCCCCGAGAGGCAATCGGATATTCCCCGGATCAATTTTACCTATACATGTTAGTAACTAGTTATATTCTGTGTATCCAAGAAAGAATCCAGGCCTTTTTAAAGCAATCCACTGAGCTGGCCAGAACCAACTCTTGAGGGAGTCTATTCCACATTTTCACAGATCTTACTGTGAAGAAACCTTTCCGTATTTGGAGATTAAATCTCTTTTCCTCCAGACGTAAAGAGTGCCCCCTTGTCCTCTGTGATGACCTCATGGTGAATAGCTCTACACCGAGGTCACTATATGAACCACTGATGTATTTATACATGGAGATCATATCCCCCCCTTATGTATTATACATGGAGATCATATCCCCCCTTATGTATTATACATGGAGATCATATCCCCCCTTAATCTCCTCTTCTCAAGAGAGAATAAATTCAGTTCCTCTAATTTTCCTCATAGCTGAGCTCCTCCATGCCTCTAATCAGTTTGGTTGCCCTTCTTTGTACTTTCCCCAGTTCCCCAATATTTCCAAAATTGAACTGCATATTCCAGATGAGGTGTTAGTAATGATTTGTGTAGGGGTAAAATTATATCTCTCTCTCTGGAGTCTATAAGTCTTTTAATACAAGAGAGGATTTTGCTCACTTTGGAAACCGCAGCTTGGCATTGCATGCCATTATTATTAGCCCATATTCTTAGCCCCCAAGTGCAGAACCTTACATTTATCAACATTATTTGCCCCATAGTTGCCCAATTAAGCAGTGCATTGAGGTTGGCTTGTAAATTGGAGACATCCTGTAAGGACGTTATTTCATTGCACAGCTTGGTGTCATCTGCAAAGACTGAAATTATATTTTTAATCCCAGACACTAAATCATTTATAAATATATTTAAAAGTAAGGGTCCCAACACTGAACCTTGTGGTACACCACTGACAACCCTAGACCATTCAGAGTATGATGACTGGTAATCTAATGACTTTTGTGGTTGTAATCAAGAAGCAGCAGAAGTAGTGAAGGAAGAACAGAGCCACAACATGAATTAAACAGAAGCAGGGAAGCCCTTGCATTGCATGGCCTCAGGTACAGCTTTCTCTCCAGTAAGGAGAACAGTGACCAGCACAGCACCAGCATGACAGGAGTGCTGAGAAGTACCAGAAGTACAATGATTTTTCAAGAGAAATTGAAGTAAAGTTTTTCAAAGTACTGCTTAGGCACAATGAACATGTCTTGATATTCTCTGTAACATAGCAAGTCTTCCTTTTTTCAGTTCAGGTCTACTTTAAGAAGAGGTCAGCAATAGCAAGATCTATATTTTTCCCAGTTCTGGGTTCCTTTAAAAGTTAACTGTATCAGATTAAAGTTATGTTTAATACTCCAACAGGATTTTAGAGCTCCTTGAAGTGGCAAGTGCAACAAGGTTCAACTAAAAGAGCAAAAAAACAATAATCGAACAAAAACAGCATTCTGTACAATCTGTAATCTTTAGAAATAGCAAAGTGAACCTCTTACAGATGGGAAAATCTACTGCAATGGATTTCTGTGTCATTCTGACATTGAGCTTTGCTAGCAGTAATGCTATCAGCTACTCTATAACTTTTAACTGTTTTAATCCACAGTGGTTGGCACACTAGTATGCCCAGTTTGGCATTTTCTTTTCACATTATGTGATAATCTGGTTCTTGTGTCATACTGCCACATAACATAAAATCTGATTTTCACATTTTGGATATATTTTTATGCACATAAAGTTTAGCCACACCCAAAACTAATTTTCAGTATGTTGAGAAGTTGAAACATTAACAGTTTTCTAAGGCTCTGTTCACACCTATGCAGTTTGCTTTTTGTCCATTTTGCACTGCTTTTTGAAGTTTGTTTTGTGTTTTCTCTACACACGTTTTTGATGCGTTTTTACCGCAGTTTGCGTTTTGTTCAGCCTTTTTTTTTTCTTTAAAGTGGAATTTATTTTTGCTTCTGGGCAGAATAAAAATGCAAAACGCAGCAAAAACGCACTACCATGCATTTCAGTAGCTTCTCTATTGAACTCTATTGTAGCAAAAATGCTGCTTTTTGCTTTTAAAAAAGTCCCTGACCCTTTCCAAAAGCGCAGCAGCTTAAAAAAGTATAGATGTGAACATGTTCCATAGGAAACCATGTTAAATGGACTGTAGTGATTTTCTGCGAAAAAGCAAAAAGCACCAAAAAACGCATTGGTGCAAACAGAGCCTAAAGCCTGCTACACACGGCAACGATGCAATTTTAGTATAGCGTTCTCCCTGCTAAACTATTGTGTTCTGACAGGGGACCCCCCCCCCCCGCCAGAACACACCAGTCACTGCCGGCACTCATTGGCTGTGAGTGCAGATTGGATACCAATCTACTGGTTTTCCAGCTGGTGTCTACTGGTGATATTGGCCAATATTTGACCTGTGGTTACAGGGCTTTAAATAACATGAATGTGTAGCTTCTGGCAAGTTAAGACCAAACTAAAGTCACAGAAATATACAGTCATACCTCAGTTTACGAATACCTTGGTTAACGTAATTTTCGGTATACGAATGAAAATCCATTGAAAATTATGGCTCGGTTACTAATTTTTTTTCGCAATACGAACGGATTAATTGGTTTTCAATGCATTTACAAATTTTTTTTAATCATGTCCCTGTACAGTACTATACATTTCAAATGCACTTTATAAAGAGTTTTGAACAGATAAGACTTTTTTTTACTTTTTTCTGACCTCTGGAACGGATTAATTGCTTTTCAATGCATTTACAAATTAATTTTTAATCACGTCCCTGTACAGTATTTATGCCTTTAAAGTGCACTTTATAAAGAGTTTTGAACGATAAAAGAAAAGACTTTTTTTTAACTATTTTCTGACCTCCAGAACGGATTAATTGGTTTCAGTGCATTCTTATGGGAAACCGCGTTTCAGTTTATGAATTTTTCGCAATATGAAAAGTCCCGCGGAACGAAATAAATTCATAAACCAAGGTATGCCTGTATATGGAAATAGATAAACATTGTACAAGCTACCTTTTTTGTCAAAGTTTTAACTCATTTTCTTGTTACAAAAGTTGTGTGGTGAGTTTAAATATGACTATGCAGTCCAATAAGTACCAAAGGTAGACCCAGTGCACTCAGTGAAGAGCATTCAGTAAGGCTAGGTTCACTCTAGCCAATGATCTGAAAAGCGATCAGCGGTGGAGCAGCTAGGCAACCACTGTCAGAAGTTCAGGAGGTGATCATAACACCTGTTTTTTTTTTTC